CTGACAGCGCCGCTATTATTTGATGCTTGTCTGAATCTGGGGTCGATACATCGTCTGCTTAAAGAACTAAGCAAGGCGGAACAGCTGTATAAGAAGGCCGGGGAAATTTCTCTGTCTATGAAGAATTTTGACAAAGAAACCTTGGCTAAGATACACCTTGCAATCTGTCTGCTCGATCTTGGGGAACTAAAAGAGGCCATTAACACCTACTTCGAGCCGCTGATGGTGTTTAAAACCACCATGAGAAAGCACACAAGAGCTCTTTACCTATATTACTATGGTGCTGCCTGCAATTCTGCGGCAGACTGGGGCCGAGCTAAAGAGTATCTTCGGGAGGCACTGGATCTGGCCAAAGAAGTGAACGATGTCGGGCTTGTGTCGAGCTGCTGCGGTGAGCTGGGCAATGTTTTCAGATCGGAAGGAAGGTGAGTCAGTGACCACGTGTGAGTTATTGCAATGTTCTTATATCCTTCAAAGTCAGGGCGTAACACTGACTTTTAAACACACAAATTTCAATGCTTATCGAATATAAATAAGAATACGAGAGTATCGCGTTACAACTGTTCACACAGAAATGACGGGGCAAAGTCTAGCATTTTACAACAATTTCCTAAATACTTGCTGGATCTTGTTACTGACAATTGAAGACTGACAACGGCCACTCCTCAGTAAAACTCACCATGGTTCACTTCTCTTTCTTGGTATGCAGCTATTGAACAGAGCCCCTCAAATCTAGACCAAAGTTTACGTAAAACGTACAAATACGGGTGTCTTGCTCCAATACCAGAGCCATGTTGATTCGCGCTTAGACGAGGGCTGGTAATGCCATGCTTGATCGTACGTACCGTTTATGTAAAGAATGCGACCGCTTGAAAGCATTGCTCTCTCGGCTGAAATATCCGCAACAACTTGTCAATGCTACGTCAGAAATTTTATTCCTTCAAAGGCTGCAGACCAGCAGCCACTACCTCATGCCCATGAGAAGATCGAGTCCAACAGTTCCAATAGTTCTGCCCAGGATTCAGCAGATTTAGTACGCAAACAACTCAAGACTTAAGCCAGAAAACTTGCGTAGTAATTCAACCAGTCCTTGTTAGTGACAAAATCCAGCAAGCGCTCATAGAACAAGAGAAAAACCACCTTTTGTAAATTTCCTAAATGAACGATTTAAGATTTACATTCGCATTTATGCATTTCGTCGTCAGATACAAAGATGCGCAAATACTTCACACAATTCATCACAACTTCGCTTTGAACAGAGGAGATATTCACGGCCTCGCAATCTCCTGCGGTGAAATTGGCTTCTTGAAGTTTTACAATCCTGAGGAGTTTGACGATTCTGTAGTGTACCAGTTCATTGAATACTCTCTTGCCGAGCACGTAGGCGACTTTTCTCGCACGGGCATAGCATTCAACAAAATTGGAAAGCTTTATACAACACTAGGCTACAACGAAGAAGCCGTTGCCATGTTTCAAA